AAGCCATATTCACCGCGGGCAGCGGCGAAGACGGTGGAGGAGATTAAGAAAATTAGAGAGAAAATTAGAGCCATTGATGATAATTAGTGATTGGTGAAGCAATGAGAGATTTACTTAAATAGTGAAGGGATTTTAGAAAAGGAAATTAGTTTTTTTATTGTAATTAATTTTTAATATTAACAAAAAAAACGTTTTGTTTCCTTTTTAATGGATTTGTTTTGGTACAATGATACGTTAATAATGTAGATAATTAATATTAGCAAAATTATTGGAACGTTACCATATTTGTTTTAATTTTGGAATTCAACGTTTTTTTTTCTTTTACTAAGATTTGTTACAACCCTCTTTCACCCGAGCTCTCCTTTTTCTCGATCCACGTACATAAAATGGAAGACTGTTGTCAATCGTTCATCACGAAAGAAACGACTCATTGAGCCGAAATCACTAACTAATACTAACATAATATAAAAATAATTGTCTTTTTTTTTTTTGTATACTTTCCCGATTTCGATGCTACCGTGGGTTTTACACAATCAATCAGATCATATATACATCCCTTCAACACGACATAGATTATCGAAAGGATCTCGGAGACCCATGCAGAATCTTTAAGAAAATGGTTCCTATTCGAATAGTGCATATCGGCATGAATATTCTTTTAAGTATGGTAATAAATTAAATATAATACGAAAATTTTAATAATAATGATAATTAAAATACTTTTTTTTTTAAGTTCAATAAAACGTAAATTGGATTTTCTTACTTTTTTTTTTTTTAATTTTAGAAAACAATTTAAAAAAAAATAATAATAATAATTGACTTTTCATCTGAGCTCCCCTTGTCTTCCTACTTCTCCTCATATATTTTACCTTTTTTTACCTGTATCTCTTACTTTTTGGTAAAGAATTTATTTACTTTACTTTTGTTGGAAATAATTAATAAGAAATAATTATAAAAATTAGTTATTTTCTTAAATAATATATTTATTAAACAAAATTAAAATTCCTTTGGTTGAAAATGTTTTTTTAATAGTTAATTAACAAAACTTAATTTGAACGATCTAACTTTTTTTTTTTTTTAATTTGTATGAAAATAAATTATTGATTCTTTAATAACACATTAATTTTTTTTCATTCCATTTTTAAATTTTGAATTTAAATTCTGAAGTTTTTAAATCCAAACTAAATGAATTTTGAGATATTACTAAAAAAAAAAGCTACAAATTTATTACAAAATTCATAAACATTAATAATAATAAAAAAAACTCGGAAACATTTTTAAAAATCATTTAAAAATACACTTACCATAATATTTTATTTCAAAAATACTATTTAACTTTGAAAATTATTTAAAAACACCATTAAGTTTTCAAAAGTTTGATTAATACCCACTTTTTTAAAATTTAAAAACTTCAAAAATATTTTAATTTTTTTTTTTTTTTAAGAAGTTCCAAAAATGTTCGGTTTGGTACCGTATTTAAAAAATATTTATGAACTTTCTAAATTAACATTAAAAGAGAGATATTTCTAAATTAACATTAAAAGGGAGATAATTTCTATGAGGTGTTTATATATAGTTTTCATCCATATATTGATGATAATAAAATTTTATTTTATAAAGTTTAATAAGGTTAATGCTACTTTTAAAATTTTATTAATAAATTTTTTAAAAATTCAATTATATTTTTGAAGCAACTTCCCATGCTCGATATTTCCCGCAAAGAGTTTGTGATGCGATTAATGAACCAGGCATATTTTTGAAGTATTATCAACCATTTATCAATTACAACGTATTTCAAATTGAACATAATGGATCATTTGGCCGCCAAGCTGTATTTCGAACAAGACCAATGAAAATCTGTTCTACAAGATTGATCGAGTGTATATTGATTTGAGGTCGGATTAGGGATTTCAATGTAATCATCAAGTAGAAATTGAGTAAGACTCTATTCCTGTTCTTCAAATCCCCAATTCAATTCTATATTATAATATACAAATATATAAATATATATGTATATATATATATATATATATATTTTTTTTTTTTTTTTTTTTTTTT